CCAGCAGCTGTAGTTCCTATTACCTCTACCCGCAATAGAGTTTGTTGGAGACAATCTGTGAGTCAACTCACTTTTTACAGTTATATATTTTGTCAGAAAAACTGCAGTTAGTGATTTTAAAGCAATAGTGGATGAAGCAGTTCCTTTATCCTTATGCATTGGCCATCAATGATGCAACAAATAGTGCAACTCTCTGAAAAAAAACATTCTTGCTGTTTTCTAAGATGGGAAGTTGCCTCAAATTATTATAGTTTGAGATACTTTGATTACATTTTTTTTGTCAAAAACTTGTAATAACTGTACATTAATGTTTTTAACAGTTAAGTACATTGTGCTTGGGCAGTTTCACTGGGTATGGTCAGCAGTTTTAAACGTGCTAGATCTCACTCAGATCCCTTATATGGGAAACTGGATCATTATATCATTATGGAAAAAGATGCTCATGTTAGTTTTGAGCTTAAATTGTATTCGCTGTGCCAATAATGTTTCGGATGCAGTTTACAGCCCATGTCTAGACATGTACCACTGTACAAACACTTTAAGTCAAAGGAGCCAAATGTTGTTCTGATCAAGTAGAGAATGACCACATATCAGATGAAAATAAAATCGATGTCCAGATCAAGGACTAACACTGTCTTGTAGCTGCTTTCTTTGGTCCTTCTGCTGTTTTTCCTACTTGTGAACACTGAAAAGCAAGATTTACTTCAATTTAGAGATGAAGTTACATTGATATCGATGGAAGTATATGCTTACAAATGTAGTATTGTAGCTTATAATTCTGAATAGCAGCATCCAATTGAACATATTCATTTTACCTGCATAGTGTTCAACAAGTTGTGGCCCAGGATATCAGCAAAGGATGGTTTACTGCACTGAGGTCCACTCCAGCCAAGATCATTATTCTTATGACTTACCATCAACATCAAACAGTGGATGCCCTGGTCCACCACCTGCCAGTCTACATGAATGTAATATCAGAGAGTGTCGCCCAACAGCCAGCTGGAGAGTGGGAGCCTGGAGCAAGGTATGTTGGATTTCGAAACTACTCTTGCTGTTTATTTGTCCTTAATAATTCTTACTTTCTGTCTTCTAAAAGAAGAAAGTTGACTTGAGATTTCATCTTGTGATGTGGTTGAATTTTTGAGCAAATGTGATTTTTCTGCAGTTTTAGTAATCAAATTTCAATGAGAATGTCTGAGTATTTTCCACTTCCTAATGTTCAGTTTAACCTTTTGAGTACCTCCAATATAAATTTTAAAACAAAAATATTTAACTCATTTTTCTAATCTAAAACATCAGATATGTTAATACATGCCTCTAGAATAGGTGGGCCTTGAACCTGGGCCTCCCTCTCCAGGGGAAGGGACACTACCACTGTGCCACAAGAGGGCCTGTACCTGCAATAGATAGACATGAAAGAGTTCAATCTTCACCTGTACCAGTTTCGCTGGATTAAGCCAGAGTGGCAATAGAAATGCTACAAATTGGCTCTGGGGTCTTTCATAAGAAATGGAAACTGGCTTCAGCTTCAAATTCCTAATCATTATCCAGCAAACCAATTTGGAAGTGCATGTGGGTGGATGATGTTGGAGGACGCTGTCAGGGTTGTGACCCTAATGATCAAATAGCCTTTAACATCCATTTTCAAAGTTAACACATGAATAATCTTCTCCTTATTAGGTACAGAAACTAAGTGGTGTCCATTGGCTTGGATTCCACAAGGAGCCAATATTCTTGGGAGGAAGGGAAGGGAAGAAATTGGCAAGAGAACCAGTAAAATAAATAGTAAAATCTGGATTTAGTAAGCAATCAGTTGCTTAAACTGATCACAACCTGCTTTCTTAAAACTTAGCCCATCTGTTAAATCATCTTGTGTTCATTCGTGATTAGTGCAGCTTAGGTGTATGTGTCCTTTTCGTGGATGCCTGCCATTACTAAAAGGTGATTGTGCTGTTAGTCTGCAGGATTGTGAACGGCTCCTAAAACGTATTCAATGATTATACACTTCTTAATGGAACACAGATCCTGAGAGTAATGTAGTAACAACTGAGCAGCCTTGCTTCAGCGGTGATACTTTGAGACCATTCTAAGTGAACACGAAAGACCCATGACCAATGTATATTCCTCATGACACTGTAACAATTTCTCCTCCCACCATTTGGATAGTGCAACGTTATCCTTTACATCTGTTTCAGATGGCACCTCTGTTTAACTTCTCGTAGATGCCATTTCTAGCGGTCTAGCTCCCCATCAGCATTGTATTCCAGTGCCAGTCACATTGTGCACTCAAGTCTCAATCATTGATACCACAGAGCCAAACTGTCGTGAAGGATAAACAGGAAATTAAAGCTGTCAAACCTAAATACTGAAGAAGGGACACTGGACTCAAAACCTTAACTCGGCAGTCTATCCACAGATGCTGCCAGACCTGCTGAGTTTCACCCAACAATTTCTGATTTTGCATCAGATCTTCAGCATCTGCAGTTCATTGTTTCAACTTGAATACTTGTATTTCCTTTTTTTGTCTTTTTTAAAAATTTATTTTGAGTTCACAAAAACTGGATTATCACAGTAAAGTCCAGAAGTGCTTAAATTTAACATTTGTTAAATTAGCCACACGGGCCCATAGGCAATTACGCATCAACAAATAAGTTGACTTAGCAGTTAACAACGCAATTCAGAATCAGATGCAAAATTAAATGAATCAATGCCAATGTGTCACCTTTTAAATACGTTATAGGACAGCACAGTGACTCTGTGGTTAGCACTGCTGCCTCACAGCGCCAGTGACCTGAGTTCGATTCCAGCCTTGGGTGACTCGCTGTATGGAGTTTGCACGTTCTCCCCATGTTCGCCTGGGCTCCCTCCAGGTGCTCTGGTTTCCACCTACAGTGCAAAGATTAGGTGGATTGGCAGTGCTAAATTGCCCCATAGTGCGCAGGCTCGGTGGATTAGCCATGGCAATTGTAGGGTTAGGGGAATATTGTGGGAGTCTGGGTAGGATGCTCTTTGCAGGGTTTGTGGGCCAGATAGACCTCTTACCGCATTGTCGGGATTCTATGATTCTATTTCTATTAAGATTGTTTTCAAATTATTTCAGTGCTCAGTGACCTGTGGTGTTGGGATAATGGAGAGAAAAGTGCAATGCTTGACTGATAACAGTCAACTAAGTGAACTGTGTCTTCCAAATCAAAAGCCACAATTCCAGACTCCTTGCTTCAACGATGCTTGTAAGTGACTTGATTTTTAATTTTTTACACTTGTGTCCTTTTTTTTAAAAAAACGGAATGAACTTAATTCTATGTGATTCCATTGCTAACAACAATTAATTTGTGTCACACCCAACAGGAAATTTGGTATTCCTCCTTTTATCTGTGTGTTGTGTTGAAAAATCTTGAAAGAAATACCGCTTAAAGCCTTGTTGTTAGAAGATCACACAGAGGACAATGGTTGGATATTTCCACAACTGTTTGCCAGAGGGCTAACAAAGACAGGATTCAACCCCCCTGCACCCTCAACTAAGAACCAACCTCCCCTGCTTCTGCTCTGAGACAGAATGTCAGTGTTCCCATTCGGGCAAATGTCATGGAACCTAGCCTAAAAAAACCTGATTCGTTCATGCAGACAGGCAGATTGAAGCACCAGGCAGTGACCGTTCAAAAATGAGGGAAAGAAAATCCAATTAAACAGCTGCCAAGCTGTGGCCGCTCACTACGATAAATTCAGCAGCTGACAATGAGAGGCTCCGCTGGCTTTAGTTCACACACGCTGTGATGCTGAAATAATCCCTCAAAATCAAAAGTTAAAATGCTACTCAAATATCAGCTTTATTATTCATTAACCTGACACTGAAAAATATCATTTGAATGTTTTTTATTTAATGTAGAGGCAATTCTAATAACTGGCAAACCCAGTTAAACTGTTGGTGGCAATTGCTGATATTTGGGAAATTGCAGATGCACAAGCTGCAATATTTGCCCATTTAAGATAATGTGGGAAAATCATGGACCCCGTGATTTCTCGAGCAACACTCACTGTGAGCACTACTCCTCGCCAGTGGGGAACAATTCAAGAATCTGCTTCCATGCCTACTTTCTCTGCCTTCGATTGCTATACATTATTTGTACTATTTTACCAATTGTATTTTTACTTATTCCAGCCATTTAGCATGTCTTTTGGTTCCCGTACGTAAGAAATAAGCGCTATTCTAGACTCAGTGTATTTGTTGCTGACATCCATGTGGCTAATGCACCGATACATTGCTATTCAACACATGACTGTGGAACGGCAGTGATTATGGCACCCAAGATACATATTTAGATAACAATTAGTTCCCAGCATTTAATTTATAAATTAACATTAGCCAGGCTGGATTATAGATATTTTCTCATCAACCTGGTTCACCCATGTTGTCATACACTTCTGGAGCAGGTGGGACTTGAACCCAAGTATCCTGGCCCAGAGGTAGGGACACTGCAACTGTGTCACAAGATCCCTTATATGCTAAGCCTACAGCACCCCAATATCAATGTGAGGGGTGAACCCACTTCTGTTCAGGAGCTCTCTTCCCACTTTAATTGTTTGGGTGATGACCCATTAATAAGCTGAACTCGAGATGTTTATCTACCTCTAGGAGGCGGTGTACCTCGCAGAGCTGCTAGTCAATCAGTCAGAGGCCTGGAGCTCTGCCCAGAGACAGAGTAACAGTAGGAATCACAGCCAGTGCTGGTGCTGCAGGATATGTTCAGCCATGAACTTAAAACATCCATATAATTCTGGGATCTTGCAAGGGTCAACCTGGTAGACCTTAAGTTGAGGAAGGGGGTGGTTGCGGGACATACTGGACAGGACATGGGGTGATGGTGCTCATGAAGGACTGCAAGAGGGGACCTCTGGCATCAAGGACGTGGGGAGGTGGGTGGGTGTAAAGAGGCCTCCCCCCCGCCCCATCTTTAATTGGCCATCAGCCCGACAGGACTCAACCCACTGGGCTACGCACTGAACACCAGTCTCTCTCTTAACCCTTTTTAATAGAATCATGGCCTCAGCTAGGCCAGGAGCAGGTAATCTACACAACACTCTAAACCATGCCGGGCTAGAGTGAGAAAGCTGGCAGTGGGAACATTGCCAAAAGCACATCAAGTGTCGTAGCTGCCTGCTTTCCTCCCTGCAGGCAGTGTGTTAAATTTAGCCCATTATTTCTTAGTCCCACTTTCGTTGCCTTGAACTTTCAAATTTGTTAAAACTTTCCCTTTGCAATGCCTTACACCATCAGTGGATATTTCAAAGTGCTTCATATCCAGTGAAGTATTTCTGAAATAGAGATTCTGAAAGCTATTGTTGTACTGTAAGGGTACAATAGATCATAGGGCAGCTCTCTCATTAGGGAGAGATAACTGGTGGTGGTTTAACCTGGGGGCCTCTGTGTCTCAGTGTGAGGTTGAGAAGGAGAGTCCTTCATGGTAACCTCAGCTAGAGCAGGAATTAAACCCAGGCTGTTGGCATCACTGAGGCTGCTGTTATTCTATAGTGGAGCATGGCTCATTTGCTCATCTCTCACGAGCAATCAAGTAATGCCCAGATAATCTATTGTTCGTCATTTAGATTGAGGTCTAAGTATTGCCTGTGATCCCAGAGCAATCGCTGCTGCTGCTCCTAAAATCATGGCAGGAAGTCTTCTGTAACTACCTAGGGTGGCATGGTGGCTCAGTGGTTAGCACTGTTGCTCACAGTGCCAGAGACCTGGGTTTGATGCCAACTTCAGGCGACTGTCTGTGTGGAGTTTGCACATTTTCCCCATGTCTGTGTGGATTTCTTCCAGGTACCCCAGTTTCCTCCCACAGTCCAAAGGTGTGCAGGTTAGGTGGATTGACCATGCTACATTGCCCATAGTGTCCAGGGATGTAAAGGCTAGGTGGATTAGCCATGGGAAATGTAGGGTTACTGGGATAGGATCGAAGGTGAGTCTGGATGGGATACTGTTTGGAGGGTTATTGTGGACTCAGTGGACCAAATGGCCTGCTTCCAAAACTGTAGAGATTCAATAATTCTATCTCAGAAAGTACATCTGGTCTCAGTTAGATGCCTGGCCTGAAAGATATCGCATCTGACAGTGTAACACTACCCTACAACTGTACTGGTACAAGACTTAAACTCACAGCCTTTTTAACTGAAGAGCCAAGAATCCCTCCATTTAGCTACGTCTGTGATTAAGGTTTAGTATCACATGGATGACATGATGCTAAATATAATCTTAAATGTTTTAAAGGTGATGTTTCAGCAAGTTGCAGTGATATCCAGAAGACAAAAGAAGTTCAGAAGGATGGAGAGTACTTGCTAAAAATTGAAGGCAAAATAATAAAGGTATTATGTTAGCAAACTGCATACTGTTTGCTCAGAATCTTGCGTGTGACATCATTATATTAATACTTTGGTTTGCAGATATATTGTGCAGGAATGCATTCTGATTATCCCAGGGAATATATCACTTTATCCAGCGGAGAGGCAGACAACTACTCTGAGGTCTATGGATACAGGTAAGTAACTAGCTGGCAGAATAGTAAATACCTTCCTTACACGAGAATCACAACAGTCAGAACCTTTCAGACAGTTTTCATTTATAAAGCTTTTGTGTATCCCCCTCTTCCTGTATTCAGAACGTGCCCAAATGGTTAGTTGCTTTTTAAAAAATGTAGTCATTCTTCTTTCAAGGATAAATATAGCCATTTTCACACAGCAAAAGCTGTAAATGAAACAAGTAACTGATTTTGATGATAGGGGTTGGGGGATATAGATTGGGTCAAGCACCAGTTGGTTTGAATGGTGATAGGATCTTTTCCATGCTGGCTTCCATTTAACAGTTGAAAGACAGGCATCTCTCATCAAGCAGCAATTCATTAGGTGTCATCTTCTACAGCTCCAGGAGAGGGGTTTGAACCAACAACCTTCTGACATCACAATTGCACAGATCAGAGATCACCTGTATTTTTTGTGAGAAGGTAGAGCTTCCTTCTTCTTTCATTTACAATGGATGGGTACCGCTTAGTGTATTCTGTAAAGACCATTACCGTTTCTTAATTCGTATAAAAATGAGGCAAATTTCTCACAGCATGAAAACTCCACTGACAGAACAATTACCAGTTCACTGCGTCTTCCCTTTCTTCATCTTGCTCCTGCTGCTGCAGTAGGGTGGGAAAACAGTGACCAACACAAACACACACACACACACATATGATTCCCCACGTTGGGCACCTAGTATGCAACACAAACAGATAATCAGCCCAATAATGACAAGGTGTTACTCCCAACAAGGAAATATTTTCTTTCCTCAATGAAAGAATGACTTCAGTTTTCAACAATAGCAATAATTTTGCAAGATCTGCCCTGGTGTTTGCCTTCAGATGAGACGGATTAATTTAATGCTCAGTCTTACAGCTGAATCCAGTATTTAGAATGTGGTTTGCAATTCGACCTAAAACCTCCGTGCTTAAGGTTAAACACTCTGCTTTATAACATATTTTATAACATCTCATGACAATAGGAAAGGTTCTCTTGTCCTAAAACCTCAACATAATGATCAAACATTTCTGAGCCCTAGCAGATAAATGCTGATATCCATGTAATTGGTTTCTTGTATTGCACAGGCCTTAATGTGACCTCAGCCACTGTTCACATCATTCAGAAAGAGAGGCATCATCTCACTGGGTGGAGAGGGAAATAAAGTGGACAAAACACCTTTAACACACAGAGTAGCATTGATTAAGAATTGGCAAGTGTTGGATACAGGTCCTTCCAGAATAGTACTGAAGAGGGTGGAGGGCAACGGAAATTTGGTTGAAGACAGGAAAAATCAGGGAAAGTATTGATGACTTGCATAATAGATATTGATCAGAATGTCAGTATGAAAATAATTGTAATAGGAATTTCTGACTGTATTATTTCTATTCAGGCTGCACAATCCCTACGAATGCCCTTATAATGGAAACAGAAGAAAAGATTGTTCTTGTAAAAACGACTATCTGGCAGCTGGGTACACTGTGTTTCACAGAATCCGCTTCGATATTAGCACAATGCAGATCATAAGTAAGTACTTTCCTCATTTTTCTTGGCTGGAAAATGTTTTGCATTGAACAAAATCAGGGAAAGCAAAGAACAGTTGGTGATGAATCACAGAACTGATCTGTACTACAGCTACGAAATTCATCATAGGTCTTTATTATGCAGTATTATGTGAACTGTAGCTATATTTTGAACAAATAATAATTGTTTGCTATTTTACAGAATGGATTTTTGGGATGAATACATAGTCATAGAGCTGTACAGCATGGAAACAGACACTTCGGACCAAATCGTCTACAGTGACCAGATATCCTAAATTAATCTGGTCCCATTTGCCAGCATTTGGCCCATATCCCTCCAAACCCTTCCTGTTCATTATACCCATCCAGATGCCCCTTAAATGTTGTAATTGTACCAGCCTCCACCACTTACAAAAACAAGCGGTATTAGGACAGATAGCTTGAGTTTTGATGATGAAAGTGATGGTGCATAATGTGAGGATTATAGTTGATGTCAAATTGAAGGCAGAAAGTACTTGCTTTTAATAACATCACTGACAATCATAGGATATTCAAACTGCTTTATAGCCAAAGAAATGCTAGCAGAAGTGTCGTCACACTTGCAGAGCAGCAAAATGCAGCAGTCATTTTGAAGACAGCAAGGTCCCACAAACAGTTAGTGAGGTATGTGACCAGCTAATCTGTGTGTGATTTTTCAGAATACACTAATTTAGCTTGCTTTATCATTAACCGATGTCAAGGCCCTCCTGAAGACTGATACTTGATAAGATCTTTCATCAAATCCCTTTATCTTGTTCACGGCTCCTAATTTTCAAAATCTCTACCAGATCTTACCTTCTTTAGCTCAGGTTGTACTTTTAAAATTCCCTTGCACTTCCAAACATTTCAACAAGAGGAGAGGAAATACTTTTACAAATTTTAATAGCCATCTGACATATTGTCATGATTCTGAATTTAATTTCGAAAATACAATTTTTTTAGCTGAAATTGACTGCTGAATTTACAGCAGTGCCAAAAACATGGACAATTTCTGTTGGCCATAGTTTCTACCTATGCTGTGTTGGAGTTAGAGGACTTGATCTTCAAACTGCAACAGCTGAGTTCACCCTGCACCCTGAGTTCATCTGACCTTAGTCACAGCAGTCCATTTAAGCATTGTTGTAACGTAGTGTTAGTCTGCCTGCTCTAACAGTGTAGCAGCCCCTGCAACAATATGTTACTCATTTGTTTCACTGGTTTTGCAAAAATTGTAATGATTTCAAGCTGACTTTGACTATCTCATGAGTTTAAGTACAAAGAGTTGTACTATACATTTCCCTCCTATCACAACCACTAGTTCCATTACTTAGAATAGAATATCCATTATTGTCACATATACTCAAGTACGGAAGTACAGTGAAAAGTTTACAATGTCGCCCCATATGGCACCATCTTATGTACTAAGTACGTAGGTATAGAGCTTAGATACAAAATAAAGAAATAAAAGGGAGAAAGAACAGAATAAAAGTTGCATTACTTACAGTTGTTCATAGCACAAGTTAGAAAAATGAAAATAAAGTTAAGATAAGCATTACAGTCTTTCAGTAGCAGGGGGCTTCGACATGTGGTCTACCCGCTGACCCGTCCCCACTCTGCTTGAGCCTCCGGCCTATCAGCCATCCCCGCTCTGCTCGATCATCCGGCCCCCAACCTGTCCCTGGTCCTCTGGCCCCCTGACCCGTCCCCGCTCCGCACGAGCCTCCGGCCCGCTGACCTGTCCCCGCTCGAGCCTCCGGCCCGCTGACATGTCCCCGCACCGCTCGGTCCTCCAACCCGCTGACCCGTCCCTG